GATTCAATCTTGCAAGCGGTTTTTGAGATATGGAGCTCGTTTCGTTTGTTTCGTTATATATCACTTTTTAAAAACTTTTCAAAATTCATCTCAGATGGGCAAGTTTCGTCGACATTTCAGAGGGGCAAGTTTCCTTCAAAAACCATTCTCACAAGTAAAAATCCTTGCCCCCAACACGAATTTCATGGTTTCGACTCAATCTTGCAAGCTTTGTTTGTTTCGTTAAATATCACTTTTTGTTTCGTTTCATTTCGTTTCGTTTCGTTTCCTTTCGTTTCGTTTCGTTTCATCAAATATAATAAGCCCTTTTTGGTACATGTCCTTCAATAGTTTTGTTTTTTGGTACACACACTACGTCGTTGTAAGCTATGTTGTTTGGCTCCAACACGACCTTGAATTCCTCTCCAAATAGAACGATAAACGTGGTGCCCTTGGATAAAATAATTCACTTTGAATACAGTTATGTTTATAATGAGTATTTCATCTGTTACTGCTTCTTTGACACCAGAATAGAAACAAAACCATTGTCGTTTGCCATTTTGCCATGATGAAGCACTGCACATATAAAGCAATTAATAAATAGACTATTTTAGTTCAGTTTGATATTTAACAAAGTTTTGGAGAAAAATGAGCTCTTTTTATTGGTTCATATTCAAATTTTAAACACAGATGACCTCTTTTTGATCCTTAAAATTTGGAGTCTGGATATTTCAAAGTCCTGCTATGTCAAACAATTTTTCATTTTCCTTGCGAGGTTCAAGATGGTGGGACTCAACGACTGTTGTAAAGATCCAATCTTGAGACAATCCTTTTCAAGCAAGAAACACTGCTACTCCAGAATTTGATGTTTATTTTGATAGATCTTATGTCAAGTTTTGAGCAAGATGTTACTAAGGTTGGTAAATATTCCTTGGTATTTTTACTGAATACAGATCCAAACTTTCACTGTTTTTTCTATGAACCTGTTTTTGAGACAAATATTTTTTCAAGTTGTCAAACTCCATTTTGATAAAATTTAATGTTCCTTGTCAAAGGTCTTTAATTAACATTAAATAAGGATATATTTTCATTTGTAAGTCAGCTATTTATTTATTTGTGATGCATCTTTAAAATGGGAGCTTTGTTTTTTCTAAAAGAGTTGAGTGCTTTTTGTATATCAGAGGTTAAATTGCTTAGATATGGTAGCATACTATACTTCTCTCTTAGGGAGAAAGAAAGCTGAAATAATCATAGATCATACAAAAAAAACTATTTGCTGTTGTCTGCTTCCTTTTAAGGCCACCCCTTCAGTTTAAAATTTCTCCATGTTTGAAAGCTTTACAGTTTGGCAAATGTACTAATATCTTACATTTTTTTGAATTTGAGGGCTAGAATTCAAGATGTCTTGGAATTTAATGAGCAAGGTGCCATCAAGGTTTGTAGACACTTGCTATGTCTTATATGTGGACCTAGATTTAATTTTACACAAGGACATAGACAAAAGATATTGTTTTCCTCGTCTTAACAAGACAAGAGTTTGGGAATATAGTGCAAATTCTCATCTTGAGACTTAATGGGCAGATTTAAGAAATGTAATAAACTCAATTTGCAGTGTAAGTCTGGCAACTCCAAGATAATGTTTTTTTGTTAAATTACTTGAAGATTATTTTTACTTTAATTATATTTCCATAGTCATCTGTATTACATTAAAATGTCTTTATGAAGACAAGTTAAAATGATTATTTGGTCTTTCCTGGTCTTTATCCAGATTTAAATCTTTGTCTTTTTGCTTTTTTTTTAATAACTCTACATTTTTATGACATGGTTAACTGCTTGATGTCAATAAACAATCTACTGTTTGTGAAATACACCCGCAAAAAGGGCAAAGGTAGAAATTTTTATTTTATATTTTTGAATATGTAAAATAAACATCTTTTCATCAAAAAATGAAACTTTGCCAAATTTATCTCTAAAATATTTCAGCCACACAGTGAAACGTTTTATAACTGATTAATGTTAGAAATGATAATCATTTTAAAAGGAAAAAAAGTTGCCTGCATGTAAAAAACCTTTGCTACTAGGTACTTTCACTCCAGGAATTTGAATGCTTTATTTTCTTACATTGTGTAACTTTTATTTTTATCTCTCCATTATACTATTGTGACCTATATATTTTTTTACATGAGCCAGTTTAATATTCCTCTTGTTGCACTAAATAATAATGAATTTAAGTTTTAATGTTGCAATTCCTTAAGGAAAGACTTGCATGAAGTGATATTCAGTTAATGCATTGAAGACAATTTCTAAAATTTTCTGCCATTATTATTATAACATTTAAATTGTTTCTCATTTGTTCGTAACCACTGCCCTAATTTTCCTAATTTTCATGATACTCCAATGTTATTTCTTTATGTTACATCTGGCCTTTCCTTTTTGTTGATGAATATTTACTTTATTTACAGAATAACATGCTGCTTGTCTAGAAACAATCAACTGTTGTTTGTGAAAGTCACCAGCAAAACATACAAAGGTACAGATATTTATTTTATCTTTTTAGATATACGCTTTTCTCCAAAAAGTATTCAAACAGAAGCCAATGTTGTGTCAGTACTGGGTCAAGTAATTAAAGCAAAAGAAAAAGTGATAAATTATATTTAAAAAAATGAAAATTGGAAACAGGTCAGAATTTCAGCCAATCATAAAACAGAGCATAATTTGCTGAACTTCTAAATTCAAGTCCCTCCGTCATTTCATTATAACTCAACTGTCAATGTTCCATGATACAAGAGACAACAAAGAGGCAACAAGGAATTGAACAGTACAAGTATTCTATAGAAATTAATTGTAGCTGCAATTTCGGAGTATGGTATAAATTTTCATAGAAAGCCAAAGAAGCCATAGAATTTTCAATTACTTTCAAATCTTTGAGAGGGTCCTAGAAGAGTTATGATCCTATTTGCAGCAAAAAGATCACTTAGAACTATTATAGTCATATGACATGGAGCATTATCTTGTTGACAAAATTAAGGCTGATTTATTTGTCTATTAAATCTGGCACTATCAAAAAGATTTTTTCAAAGGATAGCAATTTAATATACGACATTGACAGAATGCTAAAGAAGAACAAGATAATGACGTCATTAGGCCTAATACTACCCCCGGACTATTGAAACCCTTTTTGAAAAATATGGTAAATGGGCAGTAGAATTGTGCAGATAATTTGCTTTGCAAATTACAAAAATGAATGACCTATCTAGTTTAAAAACTTTGTGGCGATTTGCACTGCTTCGTCCATGTTTTACCCATTGCAAAAAGAATTTTTTACCATTGCAATTTTTCCACTTTTTAAAAAGATTTCTCCAGTAGGTTTCCATAGAACATAATTTAAAATATGTTTGTTTTTTTTGTTAAATAGCAGAGGCTTTCGTTTCATTCAATATAATAGCAATTTTTTATCTGATAAAAATTTAATAACAATTTTTCACTTTCTTGACGCAAATGAATATTAGGCCAATAATTTTGCTAGACCATTCGAATACTTTTTTGAGGGAAGTGTATATTCTTTATCATGCTTTAGATACAAATGCAATGTGATATGTTTAGATTTAATTACTGGATACCACAAAATGCAATAAAATGAAAGACCAATACACGAAAAGAAATAACTACAAAAATGATTGAAAGAAGTAATGCAACCTAGGTCAAGGGAGCCATCAACAGGCAATTATAAGAAAAATCAATTTTCATTTTGCTTTCTATTTGAAAACAGCATAAATCATATTCTTTTTGACAGTGTTATTATTTATCAAATTATTCCTAATCAAATTAAGACATACAAGCTTCAAAATGTCGACAACAAGTCAGTACAATTGGCATAAAGAAATTTATTGAGATACTTAATGTATGATTAAAATGTTATTAACTTTGGTATAATCACACTGAATTTAAAAACCAAATTATCAGTATGAATTGATTACAGTCTGAAATTATAGGAAATGAAATCTCATTTGATGAGACCTGTTAACAAAATTGCCTTCTTCTTGGTTTATCAAATTATTTTATGAAAAAGCTCCTTTTTTGCAAACTTTTCTTACGAAGTTCAGATATATCGTTCAACTTTTGCCAATATAACGAATCAGAAGACAAGCTTCTAGGTGACCATTCATTGTGTTGCGTACGTAAACCAGGAAACATTTCAAAATCCATGCGACTTTACAATTTCCAAGGATTCTATAAACACTCAAGTGTAGAATATAGTTGCAACTTTTCTAAATTCCATCGTTTTGTCTATCTTAACACAAAAAGTTAAATTGTAGATTCACAATTATTGTTTTATTTAATGTACGAACTTTTATTCTTTTGAAAACTACTTTCTTCAATTTCAATTCACTCTTGATTGCTGATAGCCTTACATTCCTTTTATCGATGGCTGATTTTCTGTGTTATAATTTAGATGTTGGCGAAAAGAAGAGCAAATACGACGAAGAAGCAACCCAGTCAATCAAACGAAGATGATGCCAAATGTTTTCTGCATAATTTCACTTAAGACTTAACAGCCAAAAGGCTGTAGTCATTTAGAACCTAGGTTAGAAAATTATTTGATTGTTGAATTTAAAGTCTTTTTCCTGTTGGCATATCTCTCGTAATTTCTGTATTTGTCTCTTTTACTTGGGCTGATCTTCGTGAGCGGTACTTCGAAATAGGTTTTAAATGCAGTTCAAGATTCTAATTAAAAAGTAATATATATCTAAATAAAATATAAAAGTTAAATAGATTGATAATGATCACTTGCGCTCGCTACTATACACGGGTTGTCCGCTACATATAGGCATTTTTATGAAATGCCTTTCAAAATTTTAAATGCTGCATTTATGCGTGCCAAAGTCTCACCCACATCACTTTCCACTTTCAGAAATTCATCATCATGAATCATCGTGTGCAACTTCATCGTGTGCAACTACAACAGTCGGCCGCAAGTGCGAGCCTAGCCTCCCAGCTCCCCGGTCCTGGCCCCACCCCATCCCCCGGTCCGTAGGGGGGATGGGGCGGGGCCAGGGCCGGGGAGCTCGGAGGCGAGACGGCAGCTGTGGCTGTGAGTGGCGGCCCACGTGCGACGGGGGGAGGGTGGGGCCAAATTTTGCGCAGCGGCTGCTAGCCCAAAAGGTCAGCGGTCGCTGCGCAGCCACGCTTTTTTCTTTCTTTTCATTTTTTGCTTGTTGTTGTTTGTTTCTTTCTTTTAGTATTTTTCAGATTGTGATGATGATTGACATGGTGACAATGATGACAACAAGATTGACATGGAACTGAGGAGGTCCTTTTATTTTTTTAGATTTGGAAGAAAGAGCAGAAATTTGAAGAAGCAGAAAGACACTTTGGTTCCACTGCCGTTTTGCAGAGAAAAAGGAACAGCAAAAGCGAAACACCACTACATCAAGACTTCTAAGCGATTTTCCAGACCACTGCCGTTTTGCAAAGGAAAAGGAGCAGCAAGAGCGAAACACCACTACATCAAGACTTCTAAGCGATTTTCCAGAACACTGCCGTTTTGCAAAGAAAAAGGAGCAGCAAGAGCGAAACACCACTACATCCAGACCACTAAGCGATTTTCCAGACCACTACATCCAGACCAGCCAGACCACTACATCCAGAGCAGGAACAAGAACCACGAACAGCATTTCAGGCACATGTAATTTGCGTAAAGTTGGATATCTCATATAATATCTCACTAAGATAGGGACACGTCATAATAATACTTAGATTATATCAGGTTCTTCTAAAGAGTTGTTCACTGAGCCCAATTATATATTTTATTGCTGTTATCAATAAATTGTTTTGACTCAACACGCAAAGTACATTGTTTTCTGTGTCTCCCTCTCGTACTAACACACAACACAAGACTTAGACAGACAAAGACTTAGGCCACACAAGACTAACACGTGACTTAGACTGACCAAGACTTAGACGTACCAAGACTTAGGCCACACGAGACTAACACCTGACTTAGACAGACCGAGACTTAGACAGACCAAGACTTTGACAGGCCAAGACTTAGGCCACACGGGACTAACACCTGACTTAGACAGCACAAGACTTAGACATACCAAGACTTAGACATACCAAGACTAACACCTGACTTAGACAGACCAAGACTTAGACAGACCAAGACTTAGACAGACCAAGACTTAGACAGACCAAGACTTAGACAGACCAAGACTTTGACAGGCCAAGACTTAGGCAACAGCAGACTAACACGAGACTTGAACAACACAAGACTCACACGAGACTTAGACAGACCAAGACTTAGGCAATACAAGACTGAGTCTAAAACAACATCAAAACAAAGAACAACATTTTAGTTTAAAACAACAAACAACAACACGGCAAATCCCCCTTTTGATAGCAACCAATCTCCCTTTAAAAAACAAAAAATCATTCCTTTAAAACGTAAAATCTTGAGTTTCTTTCTCAAATAAACTGAATATAAAAAAGGAGTTGGACCAACAAAGGGAGGAGGAGGAGAATCGTCCCTTAAAATAAGAAAATCCTCCTTAAAAAAATCCTCCTAAAATGAAAAATCCTCCTAAAATAAAAAAAATCCTCCTAAAATAAAAAAAAATCCTCCTAAAATAAAAAAAATCCTCCTAAAATAAAAAAAATCCTCCTAGAATAAAAAAAATCCTCCTAAAATAAAAAAAATCCTTGTAAAATAAAAAAATCCTAATAAAAAAAAAATCCTCCTAAAATGAAAGATCCTCCTAAAATAAAAAAAATCCTCCTAAAATAAAAAAAATCCTCCTAAAATAAAAAAAATCCTCCTAAAATAAAAAAATTTCAAGGGAGGAGGAGGAGGAGAATCTTCCCATGGGAGGAGGACCAGCGTCTCATGGGAGGAGGAGTATCGTCCCAAAGGAGGAGGGCTATATTCCCATGGGAGGAGGACTATATTCCCATGGGAGGAGGACTATATTCCCATGGGAGGAGGATCAGCGTCTCATGGGAGGAGGAGGAGTATCGTCCCAAGGGAGGAGGACTATCTTTCCATGGAAGGAGGACCAGCGTCTCATGAGAGGAGGAGTATTGTCTCAAGGGAGGAGGACTAGCGTTTATTGGGAGGAGGAGTATCGTCTCAAGGGAGGAGGACTTGCGTCTCATTGGAAGAGGAGTATCGTCTCATGGGATGAGGAGAATCGTCTAATGGGAGGAGGACCAGCGTCTCATGGGAGGAGGACCAGCGTCTCATGAGAGGAGGAGTATCGTCTCAAGAGAGGAGAAGTACCGTCGCATGAGAGGAGAAGTATCGTCTCATGGGGAAGGCGGCTGTCCGTTTCTTGGAAAGATAAGTGTTGTCTGATGGAAGGGTTGCCTCATGGGAGAAGGAGTGGTGCCTCAAAGAAGAAAGAAAAGTGTCAATGTCTCAAAGGAGAAGTGTCAAAGGAGTCTTGGAGAGGAGGAGTTGGAAAATTATGTCAATGGGAGGAGTGTTATGTCAAGGGAAGGGCCAGCCATTATGTCCAGGAATGAGAGGAGTGTCATGTGTGTTTTTGTATAAGTATACGACAAGATATAAGACAGAAAGATAAGACAAGATAAGTGACGTTTCCTCAAAGGAGAAGTGTCAAAGGAGTCTTGGAGAGGAGGAGTTGGAGAATTATTATGTAATGGGAAGAGTGTTGATATGTTAGAGGAGTATAATGGGTATTATTGTTAGAGGTCATGCTGTGGATTGTTGTAGTTGGAATGTTGTGTTTTTGTTTAAGTATACGAGAGAGAGAGTTGTGTTTTTGTTTAAGTATACGAGAGAGAGACGCAAATGTTGTGTTTTTGTTTAAGTATACGAGAGAGAGACGCAAAAATTGTGTTTTTGTTTAAGTATACGAGAGAGACGCAAATATTGTGTTTTTGTTTAAGTATACGAGAGAGACGCAAATGTTGTGTTTTTGTTTAAGTATACGAGAGAGACGCAAATGTTGTGTTTTTGTTTAAGTATACGAGAGAGAGACGCAAAAAATGTAAGACACAGGTAAACATGGCCTACAAAATAAAAAGCGATTTCCAAATAGCCTACAAGCCGATAAGTTCTAAGATGTACGTGATATGCTCTTCTGCCATTTCTTGTTGCAGTAACTCTCCTGAAGAAGTCTTGGAGACATGTGATTTAAAAAACAAGTTCTACGTAATAACAAACATCAAAATAAAGTTCTACGTAATAACACTCTACAAGAATCGCTGCAATAACTCTCTAGAAGAAAATTGGAAAAAGTTCTAAAGTTCTAATTTTTCCGGCATATCACATGTGCTCGAAATGCTGCTCGATCGTTTTTTCCAGATAAACATGTGGTTTTCTAGCAAAAAAAACAGTTGAGATGCTGACCATTGGAAAAAGGCCAAACATTAAAACAAATTACACTACAAGAATTTTCTGTGCTTGAAATGCTGCAATAATTCTCCAGAAGAACCAGAAACATGTACCAAAAATACATTTACAGTAATTTACACTAAAAGAAATGTCCCGCTATTATCAATACAAATTGTTCTGGGGCACCTGGACAAATGCCTTTTCTTGTTCTCTTTTGCAAGTAGTTTCCAAAGTCTAGCACGACAACTTTCTCGTCTTTTGCTGGTAGCTGGATCTCAATTTGACGTCTTTTTGCTGCTTCTTGTTCTTTGCAAAACTGCAGAGTGGACCAAAACGTCTTTCTGCTTCTTCAAAGTCCTCTTCAAAGTCTTCAAAGACCTAAAAAAATAATAGGACCTCCTCAGTTCCCTGTCAATCTTGTTGTTTCATCAGAGCCTACGAAAACAAAAAGAAAGAAAGATTAAACAAGCAACGAATGAAAAAAAACCCTCCCCCTACCCCCCCCCCGCCCCTACCCCCCTGCCCCCACCCTGACCCCCGGTCGCACGTGTGCGACCGCTCACGGCCACGGCAAGCCGCGCCGGCCGGCGACCCAGCTCCCCGGCCCTGGCCCCACCCCATCCCCCCTGCGGACCGGGGGATGGGGGGGGGCCAGGACCGGGGAGCTGGGTGGCTAGACTAGCAATTGCAGCCGAGGCTGTAAGCAATTGCAAACGATTGAAGAGGAAACTGTTTTACGCCGGTTAAGGAGGCCGTCATAAGAATATGTCAAAATCTGCTACTTGCGTACAACCTAATACTGCTAAAGCTCCGTTTCACATATTCACTTCATTTTTGCTATACAAACTTTCAAAGTATTCTTGTTTTTGTTGACAACAACAAAATTAATTTTGGGGGTCAGGTTTCCATAGCAACGCTCGATGAATGGGGACACTTTTTCACAGTTAGGTTCATTTTTCTATGTTATTGCAGCAATCTTATAAATAGAATGCCAATGAAATAGATGCCAGTAAGTAGATCTTTCATTTGAATAATGGAAATTTCCATAACTGTCACGAAATAAGGGTGAAACCCCAAAATGTCGTTTCCATGGCAACAATGTCTATTTTTGGTTACATGAAAATTTCCATTACTCAAATGGTAGGCAATAGTGAAATGAATAAAATCAGGAAGTTTGGCTTTGCTAGGGCCTGTGGTTTCAAAATAAAATGTTCCTAAAAACACTGAACATAAATTTGATACTATTGAGAAAAACGGGGTTTTACGAAAACAACTATTTTTAATTCATTTTACGAGTTATTTGTCTCTTTAAAAACACAAAATTGTTCTTTAAAGTTTCAATGTTATATTGCTACCAATGTTCAACATTTCCAGCTCTTTATGACCTGTTACCATGCACAAAAAATTGATCAATACTTAGTTCATCAACAAACACAATCTTGGGATCTTTATCACTTTTGCTGTTTCGGCTGGTTTCGCTATGCTGAGAAGATTTTTGTTTGCTGTTTTGCTTTTGAGAAAGTTTCCTCTTTTTTGCCAATACTGGTTCAATACCAAGCCCAAAACCTCCTGCTTTGTATGCAACTGGATCAGGAAGTTTTCTCTTTCTGTCAAATTTGAGGTTCTTTCTCTTAATCCTGTACTTGGCTGAAATCTTCTTTGCTGCATTCTTAAGTCTCAAATCATCTTCGCCCCTAAAAGCATTCAATGTGTTCACACCAGGCATTATTCCAAGTCTCTTCATTATAACACACTTGCTTCCAGATCCTGTATTCCAGCTGCAGATACTTGCACATACCCCAATCTGGACGCGTCTTTTTCCACAGAATTGTGTTTTTGGTACTGAAGACCAGAGTCTTCCATTCAAACTTTCATTTTGGTTTTGTGTCAAACCAAGCAAACATCGTTTCAGTAAATCATCATTACTCAACCTGGAGAATATTGGCTCAAGCTCTTTCAAAAAAACTGCAGGTAGTCTGTTTGCTCCCTTGTATGTCTTCGTACCATTAGCTTGGTCTTTCTGAAACCCACACCAAGACTCCTTTCCTTTTGGGCAGTACTTGTGTTGAAAAGCAAGACTCTTTTGTGGGTGTTCTATAATATGATGCATAATTGCATTAATGGCTGCTTTTATACCTTGCAGATCACCCTTATTCTGCCTTATAGCAAGGCCATAGTAATTCTGAATTTTCTTAATGGTATCCTGTGTAAGTCTACCTGCTCCTCCTACACCTTTTCCATCAGCAAGTTGCTGGCCTTTCATGTTCTTTTTGTATTGGAGAAGAGCAGAACCCATTCTCTTTTGAATATGGCCTACACACTCTTCCTTTTGGATCTTGTAGGAATCACCAAAAATACTTTTCAATTCTTCAGCAACCTTTCCAAAACAGCTACTGTCTCCATCACCAATGAAATGTGTGTACTTCAGTCCCCTTTCTTTTATACTTCTTTTGAAGATTGCAATAGCACCTTTGCTCTCCATGTCTCCTGACGAGCTGAAGTGGTTTATCTCACATTGGTCTGCATGGCTTGCTTCCCATTCTTTGAACTCAAATGAGGCCTTATTCATGTTGCTGTGAGAGACACATGCCTGACAAAAGTGAGAGAGAACCTCATAATCAAGGACTTCTCCAGATCTAACCGAGAGGACAAAAACAACCCCAATCTTTGAGGTATGTCCCCTCTTTTGCCAGGTCCCATCAACAGTGACTGGTATTTCCCCAATCTCCTGTCCATCCTCTGTCACTATAACTCTTTCTGGTTCTTCTACTTTTAAAATATTCAAAATTCGGTCTGCAGCTTCTTTCATCTTAACTTCTGCCTCAAGTTTCAATTCTTTCTCAATATCCTTCAGGTGGTTATTATGCGACTCCTTAGTAACAGGAGGTGGTAAATCCATTTTTGCACAGAAGCTTTGGAGTTGTGCCCGACTTGGGCATGCTAAAACTGCCTTTCTGTTTACTTCAAATGCTCCACCTTTTCCAGCTATTTTCCTGCTGGTTGAAAAATTTTGTTTTGCTCCACAATGTGTGCATATTATAAATAAAGACTCTGCCAGTCCTTTTCGTTTTTGGTTATCCTGCTTGATTTTCAACTTTGATTTAGCATTTCTACAACTTGAGCAGATGGCAAACTGTTCTAAAGATTGACTCAGTATTGAGAAGTCCTGGATTTTTGTTCCATGGGCGTCTTCAATGCAGTGTGCTCTTGCGACCCCTAATCTTTTGCTCAAACTTCTGGTCTTCATCTTCTCGTCCATCTTTTTAAAATCGCTGTGCTTCAGCTTCTCTGATGACATATTCCTCATGGCACTCAATCCTTTTTTTGTCAGCGAAGGCGTACATGGCTTAGGCCTAGTGGTATCATCCTGGCTCGAGGTTCCACTACTGGTACTTTGTTGTGGATTTCTGTCACACCCCGAAGACTCTTTCAACTGCCATTTCCGTACTCCGTGGAAACCTTTTCTCTTTTTGAATATTCTAGGCATTATAGAGAACAAATAACAAGATAAAATACACGGTTCAACTTGCTGTTTTTCGAGTGCTTTCTTCGCCGAAATGAACACAACAACACAAGGGAGCATACAGGAAAATAGCCTCAAAACGAAAAGGAGGCAATTTGGAAAAAGGGGGAAATTTGAAATTAAATCATGGCTACATGTTTGGGGAGGTTTTCCATGGAGAAACGCATGGTTTCTAAGGAAAAAATTCGCCCAAACACCGTTGCTATGGACATTATTTAACGGTTGATCCAAAAAAACTGTCTTTTCTCTCGAACTGAGGCCTATAAAAAGGGAACGGGACCAAAGGACTTGAAAATAATGCATATACTATCAATATCAGAAATAAAAAAAAAATGATGAAAAATTATTTTTCCACAACTTTTTCTTATGACGGCCTCCTTAAGCCGGGAAAACAGTTTCCTACTAACCTCAACTGAGTCGAGACTCAGTTCAAGTTAGTGGGGCATCCCGCGCCGCCGCATACTTACCTGCCCCCCTCTGAAAAAAAGCAGGAAATCCAATTTAGAAAGGAAGAAAAAAAGGCATACTTACGCACCTTAAAGCCTTCTCTGGGCATGTTTTTGAAACTGGCTAGCGATTTGGAAGGTTTCCGTCCGATTAACGATTCTTTGCTTTTCTACATGTGGACCACGGTTCATGATGATGAATTTCTGAAAGTGGAAAGTGATGTGGATGAGACTTTGGTACGCATGAATGCAGCATTTCAAATTTTGAAGCGGACAACACGCAAAGTGACCATTATCAATCTATTTATTTTTTATATTCTATTTATATATATATTACTTTTTATTTAGAATTTTGAACTGCATTTAAAACCTTGCGAAATTCCGCTCACGAATATCAGCCCAAGTCAAAGAGACAAATAAAGAAATAACGAGAGACATACCAACAGAAAAAAATTTTATATTCAACAATCAAATAATTTTCTAACCTAGTTTCTAAATGACTTTAGCCTTTTGGCTGTTAAGTCTAAATGAAATTATGCAGAAAACATTTGGCATCATCTTCGTTTAATTGATTGGGTTGCTTCTTCCTCGCATTTGCTCTCTTTTCGCCAACATCTAAATTAAAAAGAAAGCAGAAATTCAGCATTGGAAAATAGCAGAGTAACATTGCCAGTAACCAAGAATGATAAAGAATTAACAGCTCTTTCTCAAGGTTAAAAAATTTCGCATGTGCTGAACTCAATAAAAACAATAAATGTGATTCTGAAATGTGATTAAATGGTCCATAAAAATAGGCAAATTTAAGGAATTTAGATAAGATTTGACGTAGAATCGTTGTTGACTCTTTAGCGCAATTTTTTCCAAAGTTTATCTGCAATTAAACGATTTTAAAAACAGAATATTTTGCAGTTTCCAACCGTAATATTTTAATAAATTGGAATAGAGAGTAAAGTCTTGCAATCTGATCTTAAGAAACGTTTTAATACTCAAATTTTGGAAAGGTTGGAAAAGGATAAACGACTTCATTCTTTGCCTACTTCTCACTTCCTAAATGACGTGGTATGAAAAAACATTTTTGCGTAATAGTTTTTCTTTTAAAACTTTGAACGCATACATAAATCTCAGTCAAATTGTGCTCAGAGTGTTGAAACATACATTTACTAAATGAGAGCTAAAACTAATTCATCAGATATTCATAACTTGTTAAAGTTTGAGTGCCCCAAAAACCTGAATTCAATAAAAAGTCAACTCAAATGAAATTTTTGATAAAAATCTATAATGAAAAAGTCTTAGAAAAGAAGGACTGTTTGTTTATGATGCCAAAGATTTCTTCGTGAATCCATCTTTAGAACCCGCTTCAAATGCCACAAAAATTATGCAATTTTTGGAATTATTACTCTTTATTAGTAAGAAAATGGGTAGTCCATTTTGATTCGTTTTTGGTGAAAAATGAACCTTTTTAAAAAATTTGAAAAGTTTGCGAAAAAAACTTATTCATATTATAACTTGATGAGCGAAGAAAAAATTTTCTTAACACTGAATAAAAATTTGTCAATAACGATCAAAGCCAATCAGATTCCATTGCGTAAAGTTTATAGCTGTGATCAATTCAAACTGACGATTTTGTGTTTACATTCAGCGTAGACAATTAATCCAAAGTTGAATTTTTTTTATCATTAAATTACCTCCATAATTTTTTTTCATCTCCATTTTTGAACTTTCACTAACCTCTAATCGACATTTTGTAACAGTTGATTAGAAATAATGTTATAATTGATAATGCTATCAAAATGAATATTTCGTTCTGTGATACCCAGTTACCAAGTCTCGACATATCACATGGCATTGATATTCAGAACACGATAAAAGAATATACACTCTCCTCCAAAAATAATTCGAACGGTCGAGCCTAAAAATTATTGGCCTAAAAATTCATTTGCACCAAGAAAGTGAAAAATCATTATTGAATTTTGGCGGGAAAATAAAACGAAAGCGTCATCTATTTAACAAAATAATAAAAGAAGCATATTCAAAACTCTGTTTTATGAGAAATCGTATTCAAAAGTAGAAAATTTTGTTTTATTCTTAAAAGTTGAATAGAAAATAATTGAGAACCAGCCCGTCGAAAAAACATTTTTCTTGTGGCTAAGTTAGCAAAATATTTTTCAGCAAAAAGCAAAACTAGAGAAAATTAATCAAGGAATGACCTATAACTTATCAGTTAAGTGTAGATCTGGTTTGAAAAAGTTTTTTCGACCAATCTAATGTTAATGGAACAATTTCAGTGAGGTTCTAGGGTAGCGTTAGGCCTAATGAAGTCGTTATATTGTTCTTTGGATATTTTTCTCAAAGATCTGAGTGTAATTGAAAATCCTGTTGATTTTTTGGCTTTCTATGGAAAATGAAACGAATCCGGTTCCTCGAAAACGCAGCAACAGTTAATTTAAAAAACATTTGATATCTGGAAAGGTGTTCCTAGCAATTTCATTGAAAATTGTATTGTTCAATTCCTTGCTGACTCTGTGCTGTTAATGGACTTTAATTTTAAACATATTGCGCACATGATGACTTTTTTCATGATTGGCTGAAATTCTGACCTGATTTCTATTGTCATTTCTAAATATTATTTAATTACTTTTCTTCCATTTTATTTACTTGACCCTGTACTGACACAACATTGGCTTCTGTTCGAATACTTTTGGGAGAAAAGTGTATATCTAAAAAGTGTATATATATATATCTGTACCTTTGAAAGTTTAGCTGGTGACTTTCACAAACAGCAGCTAATTGTTTCTGGACAGCCAGCATTTGCCCTGCAAACAATGTGAATATCCATCAACAAAAAGTAGAGGCATAATGAAACCTAAACAATAAAATCAAAGAAATATGAAGAATTACAAAAGTTAGGGCAGTATTTAGGAACAAATAATGAACAATCAACAGTAAATTGTGTAAGCCATCAATCAGCTATTTAAGCTCATTTGAAGATCATCTTCTGGTGCATTAGTCAACTTTATACAAATCTTAAGACTCAGAAAAATAAAACTTAAATTAATATCTTATTCAGTGTAATGAAATGATATTAAGCTGACGATTACAAACAAAATATTATAGGTCACAGTATTGTATTAACATAAGAATATATATTAATAGATTTTAGCATAAGCAATAGAATACAAAAGTATATGTCACTAAAGATCCCCAAGTCTTAGCACCCAATAGAAAAAGTCTCTTAATATGCAGACAACACATATATATATATATGTTAAAAAAGATTAATAAATATTTTTACCTTTGAATGATTTTGGGGTGACTTTCACAACCAGCAGATTTTTGTTTCCAGAAGACTACTAGCAGTTTACCCTGTGAAAAAAGTGAACATCCATCAACAGAAAGAAAGGCAGGATTAAACAAACAATAAATGGAAGCAACACAAATGATTAGGGAAATTAAGGCAGTGAATTGGGAAAAAACAACCCAGGGAAAATTTGTAGGTTGTCATTCAAATATTTAAGCACATTTGCATAGAGACATTTTATGTTACATAGATGATGACCAGAATACATTTGAGAAATTATCTTCCAATGCATCATTAATCAATAATCATTTCAAAAAAATCTTTCAGAACAGTGAAACTTTAAATAATAATTTTATTTAATGTAACAACTAGTTCCTTATCAACAAAATAATATTGGTCACAATAATCCATCATATAAAACCATATATTGATCCATTTAAGACTGATTACTGTTTCCAACATCAATCAGTTCTTTAATATTTCACAGTGTGCCTGAGAACTTTTGACAATAAAGTGGCAAAGTTTCATTATTTGAGTAGATTATAATTATTGGATTTTGGTTAGCAAATATAGTTAATAAATATTTAATGTAATATATATATATTTCTATGTTCAAAAATATAAAGAAAACATTTCTACCTTTGCATGTCTTGCAGATGAACTTCACAGACAGTAGATAATTGCTCATGGACATCCAGCTCTTGTCAACAAAATGAAGAGTTATTAGAAAACCAAAAAGATAAAAAAATAAATCTAGATAAAAACAAGAAAAGACAAGATAATATTTTTTGCTTGTCTGTATAAAGACATTTTAGCGTAATTGAGATAGCTAAGTATCTGGAAGGTGCCAGACTTCACTGAAAATTGAGTTCATCAAGTTTCTTGAATCTGTCCATTAAGTTTGAGTAAATATAATGGTAGCAACTTGCTCTCCATTACTATTTGTAGCTCAAACATCACAATTTTGAAAATCATTTGTCAAATGTCTAGATGAGAATTGGCACTATATTACAAAAATATTGTCTTGATAAGACATATGAAGTAAGTAAAATTCTAAATGATTTTTACAAACCTTAACGGCACCTTATTCATTCAATTCCAAGACATCTTAAATGCTAGCCCTCAAATTAAAAAAAGATAAGATGTTGGTATATTTAAAAAAAGTTATTTAATATATTTAAAAAAAGCTCTTAAAATATGATATCATCATTTTGGTTAATTATGATATTATCAAATCAAACCAAAAGACGTCATGCTGATATCTAACATTAATCATTTATAAAACCTTTCACTGTGTGGCTGAAACATTTTTGAGATAAACTGGCAACGTTTCATTTTTTGATGAGAAGATGTATATTTTACATATTCAAAAATATAAAATAAACATTTCTACCTTTGCCCTTCTTGCAGGTGTATTTCACAAACAGTATATTGTTTATTGACATCAAGCAGTTTACCCTGTCATAAAAATGTAGAGTTATTAACTAAAACCAAAAAGATAAAGATTTAAATCTGGATAAAGACCAGAAAAGACCAAATAATCATTTTAGCTTGTCTTCATAAAGACATTGGAAATATAATTAAAGTAAAAATAATCTACAAGTAATTTAACAAAAAAGAACATTATCTTGAAGTTGCCAGACTTACATTTCTTAAATCTGCCCATTAAGTCTCAATATGAGAATTTGCACTATATTCCCAAAATCTTGTCTTGTTAAGACGAGGAATAATATCTTAAAAAGTTAAATCTAGGTCCACATATAAGACATAGCAAGTGTCTACAAACCTTGATGGCACCTTGTTCATTAAATTCCAAGACATCTCAAATTCTCCCTTAAATTCAAAAAAATATAAGATATTAGTACATTTGCCAAACTATAAAGCTTTCAAACATGGAAAAATTTAAAACTGAGGGGGTGGCCTTAAAAGGAAGCAGACAACAGCAAATAGATTTTTCTTGTATGATCTATGATTATTTCAGCTTTCTTTCTCAATAAGAGAGAAGTATGGTATGCTACAATATCTAAGCAATTTAATCTCTGATATACAAAAAGCATTCAAATCTTTTAGAAAAAACAAAGCTCCCATTTTGAAGATGCATCAGACATACAACTGAAAATATATCCTTATTTAATGTTAATAAAATACCTTTAACAAGGAACATTAAATTTTATCAAAATGAAGTTTGACAACTTGAAAAAATAATTGTCTTTAAAACAGGTTCGTTGAAAAAAATTCAGTGAAAGTTTGGATCAAATGTACTCAGTAAATATAAAAAGGAATAATTACAAACCTTAGTAACATCTTTCTCCAAACTTGACAAAATGATATTGAAATATAAAAGAAATGAAAGAAAGTTATTTCCAGACTCAAAAATCTGCAGAAACTTGGTACAAAAAATGTGCATTTCTTATTATTTTCATCACCAGGATAAAAAATTGGAGTGCAGCATCAACAATAAACATATCCTTGCTCTAATTCAATTAAAGATCTTTCAAAATAAACATCAAAATCCTGCATAGCAGTGTTTCTGGCTTGAAGAATGATTGTCTCAAGAATGGATAATCTTTTATATTATATATGGTAGACACATAGAAAAGAGTGTTTGAAATTAAAACTCAGTGAGATATTTCATCAAATATTAGACATACAAAGGGGTTAATACAAATCTTGCTGATCTCTAGTTCACAAGAATTCACCACACTTGACATGTTGAACTTGAAAAAAAATAAATGAAAAAGTTATTTCCAAGCACAAGAAATGTTCAGAACCCTGATACAAAAAATGCTAATTTCTCATTATATGCATCTCATTATGATACAAAAAGTTGTAATGGAACGTTGGAAATAAATACCCATATGCAATAGTAATATAAGGTTTTAAAAAATATAATCCTGGCTCAGTGGAGTTAGAGAATGATTGTCTCAACAACAACATAAATATAGAAAAATTAGTTAAAAATGCTAAACAACAGAACAGAGTTTACAAACCTTGCAGATTTGTTGCCAATGGTAACACTGAGGGCCTTCAAATTAAAATGAAGTTAAAATTATTTAAATATTGGCCAAAACAGCAAAGATATCAAACAAAGATATAAGAGATTCATTTCAGATTAATTTAGAGCTTTAAATATATTATAAATTTATCTCTTAATATCTATTTATAAATGTGATTATCTCAGATTGCTCAAAAATCTTAAACATTTGCTCTATGTTTTTTTTCCTGCTTGTCTGAAAGTGTTTGCTTGAGAGAAACGTAACTTATGAGCTTTGATTGACATTCTCTCCCAGTCTTGAACAAATCATGTCAATGACAATAAATGAAAGGGCAAATAGAGTTTACTTCAAACATTTTATTTTAATTAACAGAAATCAAGTATAAAATTCAATATAAAATGAAGTATTATTATGAAGTATTGAGAATAGATCTCACTAAAACTGACTCCAAACGAATTACTTCAAATAAAGCTTGCAGAATGCAAAGTAACTAAAAACACTAAAACATTTGTCTTTAGTTGCAATTAATGTTTTCAATAGGAAGAACATAAATTATATTGAAAAAATCTTTAAAATGGATGTCTAATTTAAAATTCTAAATATTATGAAATAAAACATACCAATTAGCTTTTCTTTAACCTTTAACTGACACCTAAGAGTCATCTGGGAAAATTTAAAAAAGAAATAATCAAGTTTTGAGGAGACAGGAATCTGGAGAAATTGAAACAAAACTAAAAGAATTTGATTGAGAGTTGAAAGAGCTTTTTGGGTAAATTAAGTAAAGTGTATCTCATGTTGAATTATAAAATTAAAATAATGAAAATTTTGTTGTGCCATTTTCAACTTTATAAATATATTAGAGCTTACATATTATAAATACAAAATTGCATGCATAGCTCAAATGAAATTTTAAGCAAAATGACAGTGAATGTTTGAAATGAAATATTATATAACGTATGCCAATAGAGTATTTTTTTAAAAAAGAACTTGCTTTTTTGGCTATGAGCTTAAGCATTCATTAAAAAACATGTCTTTGATAAACTGGAGACAGAAAATCATCTGAAAACTCATCTGAATACAAAACTCATCAAAATGAAAGTAAATTTGATGTCAGGCTGTCTATTAACACAAACAGCTTCTTGTGGTGTGGCCTGTCATCTGGAAGGTTTATGAAAGAAATTTGAAACATAGCAAAACGACATTACTTCTCTCTAAGAACAGTTCAAAATAGTTCAGTTAACATTTATTCTTTTTTAAAGAAGAAACAAACAAAATATTCATACCTGTTCCCCACAAAGAGCTATGATTGACGTCGGATCAACAAATCACTTTTAACTTGTCGTTTTTCTGTGTTCACTCCATTATCCTTAAAATGAGGCAAAAAGCATTTTTATCAATGGGAACACTTCTGTACATTCGCTTTCGGTGTATACTTTAATAACGAAGAAAACGGACGAGGAAAAGGAACGAAGAATCCGATACGATAAATCAGTTTTAAAAATCGAAAGCATATAGCACCAAAAAGTAAAGCAGAATCACCGTTTTGTATTGGATTAGTTTCGCCTGCTTCATTTCGATTAGCATGACAACCTAATAATTGCGAATGGCAATATCAATTGACATTAGTAGGCCTAGTAGACAAACTCTTAAATCTTGTACTTGACAAAAAGGTCTTACCTAGGTTTACAAGCCGTTGTAGGCCAAGATGAAGACATGAGGGTTTTGCACCAACACCTCATCTTCGACTCTTTTGTGCCAACTAATTGAATAGCAAAGAAACCAGGTATTTATAAGCATATGCAAATTTGGACTAGATTCCCGCCATATCCTGAAACAAAAGTCTCCCGTTCTCCCGTGCAGCCACCAGCCATTCCCGCCAAAATTCATTCAAATTACCCGCCAATGATGATCTCCTTCACACCACAGGGAACTTCAATAGACGGAGGACGGGGGTGTGCCATTTTGTAATATGAAAACATACCTTAAAATTCATAAATTTTTTAAAATCCTACCCACAAATTTCGATACATTATGAAATATACACCTTTAAATTTAATTCAAATTTGCAAAAATCCAACAACTCAATCAAGTAAATAAAACCCCCTATATTTTAAAAATGATATCCCAAAATTTAAGAATAAGAATAAGAAAAGTTAAAAAGAATAATTCCCAAAATTTATGACCAAAATTTATGACAAGTGCTTTTAATGCGACCTTCAGTTTTCTGTATATTTAGGTGACGTGGAGTCTTAATATTTCTCGACTCTTCAGGATTTGTTTTTAGGATCCCGTGAAAGATTGTACAATAATTCAACATATATTTCTAATGGCCTAAGGACGTTGCATGATGATATTTTGCTTGTTTAAACCCCCTAATCTTTAATAGTTGTCAACGCCCTGTTTTGTCAGTGTTTTGAAAAGAAATCGATTGGGAGTCCATCTTTTTGTTTATATATCTGTACTGAAAAGAAGTAAGAATCATTTCACGTTTTGCACCCTTTGATCCAACCTTCGCCTAACAATCGAGGTACACCTCGTGGGACTTCTTTGAATGTCCAATTTCGCAATCCATATTTTTCAACTCTGGACCCTCTTTGGTGTTTTGGTTACTGCTTGTGTTGTCAAAGATTTTCACATTTTACAAAATCCGTGCACAAAAAAATGTAGGTTTCTAGTCTCTCTTTTTTGAAAAACAAGATGCAAATTGACACAGATTGGAGTCCGAAAGAAACAAAGGATCAAAGTTAATCCCTTAAAATTTTGGCTCTTTTTTATAACAGCTATCACGATAATAAATTGATAATTGTTCATACAATGATAACACCGATAGGTTGAATAAACTGGTACCAACAATGATGTTCCTACATTTTAAGTCAAATTATTCCACACTTTTCACATTAACGCAAGAAAATTACTGAAATAAAAAACAGTTTCTCTTGGAATCATATCAAATGTTATCTGCCATCGACAAAAAACCTGGCGAGTTTTGCCAAAGCAACAAAACAACAATAAAAGATACAATTTTTCATAATTTTATGAAAGGAATTAAAAATGTAAACAGACAATATTTTCTTGAAATTCAAATAATTTCATATCAAGATAATAATTTATTGCACAAAGTTTGTCAGGTTGCTTTTAAAAAATCTTATGATAAACAAATTGCCAAAGGTGTAAAAAACATTCAATTTATTGGCAAGGAATAATTTTTGCTAAAAAAGATGTTCAAAATTGGACTGTCCAAAAGTAAACTTCCAAAAGTTTATTCTTAAATATTTCAATTATCTTTGTTTTTGATTATTTGACTAAGATCAGCTTTTTTGTCTTCTGGAGGTGGAGAAAAAACTTGCATAGGGTAACAAAGCACATCAAAATTTAAATTGTAAAATCAGCCTTGCTTATTTCGAGATTGTTGAGTTGCTGAGTAAGAAAATGTAAGCAAAAGATTGCAGATAATTGTGACATGTAAGTAAGAAGATGATCGATCAAAAGCTTTGCAGCAAAAAGATTCTGGAATAATTGCCAAATCGTCAAATATACAAAGTCTTTTTGCTACTGTTAATTCTCCTTAAACAGTAAGTCTACAGACTTTTTATCTGTGTTGATTTTCCATAAAAAGTAAATCTCTAGAATTTTTAAAATGGTCACATATTGGAAGGAAAAAAATTCTAACGGCGCTGATTATTACAAATTAAACGTAAACAGATCTTCAATCTTTTTGTCAATAGCATGGAAGAAATGTGTATATGCAATAAACTAAACAATGAATTTAGGTACTACCTCAATAAGGCCCAAATTCCCTTTTGGCCTTGTTTAGCCTCTCTCATTGACTAGAAGTAAGATCAAAGCTATGTAGAAACCAAGGATATACCAATTATGGCTTTAAAAAAACGAAACATTTTACAACATACTAAAAGCCTTTTCACCTGAGATTTCAGACTACAAAACTTCAGAATAAGAGTTTGAAAGAACAAGATGGAAAAAAGGAAAGTTCTTTTGAACCCTTATTCTGACGGATCCTTGTTTACATTTTGGCTTTCGGACCATTATTCTGACATTTTATACTCTGAGGAGTGTCAGAAGAAAAAGCTTTTATTATCTTGTAGTAATTTTGCTTTTTTGAAAGCCATTTCAAGTTTTGTACCTCCAAAAAATTGTTCATATATTGATCTCAATACTTCAACACAGGAAATTTTGCTTTGGCATCCCAAAAATCTTTTTGCTTCTAAACTGCAATATGATTTTTGGATGGTCGTTCCTTATTAAAGATTCTCTAGAGACAGGTTGGTAATGATGTCATTGATTCAATTTTGGGGTTTTTCTATTTGAAGTCCAAGCATTAAAATATCATCTAAGGTGATTCTGTTGATAATCGGCAGAAATGTTGTCATCGTGAAATTGTACAATGTTAACTGTAATCTTGCCTGGTCCAGAAAAACTTAATAAGGGAAGTTTTTTATAATATCATATGTTATTTACTACCATCCGGCAAAATTATGGAAGTTGAGTATTAATTTCACTTTAGAAATCTCAATTGAAAATGAGAATCAATTAAGTATTCTGCTGCTCATATGATCGAAAAATCATGATCAAATTCCTTAATTGCAAACTTTGCAACGATAAACATCCACATTTTGGAAAAAATGTTTTCTCTAAAAAATGGCCCATTTTGCTAAGCCTATAGCCTAATAATTTTAGAAAAAATTGAGAACAGTTCAGTGCAAGTTTTTTAATCTTGAAAGGGTAAATTAATTAAACTTTTTTGCTTGTAATGCTTTAAAAGTTGATTTAGATGATAAAAACAGACTTAAGAATTAACAGCTAGGTATCTCTTCTCCAATTTTGCAAGCTTCAGGTTTCACTCAATTGCGGTCAAGACATCAATAATTTTTTACCTGTTTGGAAGTACCTGAGATAAAACGACGATAAGAAATGCCTTTTCACAGAAACTTTCTCGAGGCAAAGGACTGAATAATCCATCCATATCTCTTTCACACGTCGCAGGGGACTTTTTCCGAAAAAAATTGGTCTTTTTTTCCCGGCGATTCTCAACTTTGACCGTCTATATGAAGAAAATGAGTAAAGATTTTGCAAAAATATTTCACGATGGCTTCAAACTTTAGACTAACTAAAAATCTATGCAAAAATCTCTGTAGTGGTCCTTTAAGCGTGGTTTTCAAGTAGTTTTACCCGTAACTCAAATTTTGAACATCCTTTGCTCAAAATCTCAATATTACACATATTCCATAACTGGACAATCATTTTGTTAATGCTAAATTATCCTCTTAATAATTTTGCGATATTTTCCCGAAATGGTACCCAAAAATTGTATATTTAAATGGTGCCAATAATTCCGCACAAATTTTAAAAAGTAATAGCCATAATTCAGCAATTTTTAGAAAAAAGGTACCCCTAAATAATGGCACGTCCCCGTACCTCAAAACCTATTAAGGTACCCCTCCCCCCGAGCATCTATGTGAAAAACAGTTGGATCACGTCCACTTCCATTGTATCTGCTGTAGGGGGATAGAATTGATTGACCTTTTCTCAATGGAAACTAGTGTTTAGGATATCTTGGATCGATTCAAAATCATTGAAATGGATTAGAGACCTTCTCAAGGCAAAAACAACAGTGTTGGGAAAAAATAGCAAAAGAAGTAACAAATCGTTGTCTAAAAAATTAAGAAAAGGATCATATCAAACATACTTACAAAATAGTTAATCTTTCTATATTACTACACATGATGCCTTCGACGTCTTTGGTTAATTCAGTGTGTCTGATTTAATTGACTACAAAGTTAATTAATAAAATTAAATGTAGGAAATTAACTACAATAAAAAATATTAAGGACCCTTAAGGATCCTCCCCCAATCATCTCTCATCCTACCCTGGCACCTACATGGAATTAGCCCCAACCCATATGTCAATTCTTGCAATATATTATTTTATTCAATATCAATAGCAAGTTCAAGGTAAAATTAGGGACTGAAAAACTCTTTCATATTATTTTTCCTGCCGATATTGCATCCAGATGCTTCCTTCATCAAAAACGAATGAAGCTTCAAAAAGTGCGACTTTCATAGAAACATTCAGGTAACTTTTATAAGCCCGCACCCTACTTTATATGCCCCCCCCTAGAATTAGTCCCTATCGGAAAATGTCTCAAATTAATAAGCTACCTAGGAGCTAATTCGAAAAATTATGGCATTTCTATAACACCTCTATAGTCAGAAATAAATTTTATGGACTAGATCTCTCGGTAGTTGATTGTAGGCGACTCTTACTAGTAACCATTTTTTAAGGAGGTTCCACTGTGGCCAATTCCAATTACATGTACCTTTGAGCAACATATTTAGAATAAATCTGTATCGTTTCCGGGGATGGCTTTGGTGGACCTTCGGTACCAATTTTCACGTAAGCGTTGTAGACCAACTTGGAATGTTCTGTTACTGTTGGTACTGCTACTTTCTTGCTACTGTCCTCCGTTATAAATGAAGTATTCGGCTTCCTGAAACAGAGACACCATAGTTGTGAGCCTCGTCTTGAAACAGAGCAGTCTTTTGCCCTCAAGAAATTCAACAATTTTATTTACTTTGCTACTTTTTTGCCCCTTTTGATGCTTTGCCCCCGGCCTTACAGCTTTTTCAGCGTATCTGGCTTGGAATAGGCATTTTGTTTGCATTTTTGTAAACAAGAAGTTCGAAGACACGTGGCATCTCTTTTGATAAACAAAGAGAAACTATTGCGCAAAACACTCTATGCTCTCGAACCATGTTAAAGGATCCAAACACTCTTTAAAAGAGACCTTATGACCAACTCTTTAGAAAACTCCACAAGAAACCACTAAAGCATTGCTATCTAGTTGATAATTTAGTTATGTTTTTAGTTATATGTTTTCATTAGGTATGGTTGAAGAAGTACAAAATCTGCATAAAAACTGACTTAAAAATGCCTTTGAAAAAAGCAAACATTAGTATGTTGTGACATGTTTGCTTTTCTCCAAGCCATTTTCAAGTTATGTACCACCTAAAATTGTTCAAAACTTGACTTGTTAATTAACCTTTTCTCAATAACAGAAATTACCGAATTCTTTTCTAGTTTCTTACGAAAACTTAAAGGAAGTTTTTTGGGACACATTCAAGCAAGGGAGAAAAAAATGAAGTGGCGCAAATGGAAGGACCGGAAATTCACAGACATAAAAATAATATCTCAAATAAACTATCAAAGATAGCACTTATAAAGTACTAGTTTACACTTTTTTTTAAAAGAGCAAGATAATTTTAACAGAGTCTTTGCTTTAAGGTTATCTTAACAGCGTTTAAAGGCTGTTTTTATTTAAACACTGGTTTTTTTCTACAACTTCACGCTGTAAACACTTGTTGATAAGCTGTTAAATCTACTCTGTTTAGTTAACAAGGGAAAAAAGTTTAAAAAAACATTGATTTTTCTCCTTTCTATTCATCTGAGGCTTGGCATGCTTTTACAGACCGTAAAAGTTCTATTAAGGCCCCTATCTTTTAAGCCCCCTCTCTATAAAGCCCCTCATTATCAAGCAACAAATTTAAAATGAGCCCCCCTCTCTATTAAGCCCGCCTCTTGAGCCGCTGATGTGAAACACAGAGAAAAAAATTGGATTGAGTGGGTCTCTTGATGGGCTGGATGGCGATAAAAATGTGTGCATCAATTGATCCTAGTTACTTTGAGGAAGGTGAGAAGGACATTATAATTGATTGATTTTAAGAACCTTTCGAAGAACCTTTTGAGAACATTTGTTTTGTATGAAATGTTCAAAATAAAACATGCACAGGGCATTTTTATAACATTTTTGACATTGAATTATTGTCAAGCTCCCTCTCTAATAGGCCCCCTCTAGGACTGAAGAAAATAAATAAGCCCCCAGGGGACGTTAATAGAGCTATTTCGGTATTGCTCTAACTTTTTGGCAAAAATGCCTCGTTGATTTTATAAATTACCTTTAAACGTTAGATTTTATTATGATAAAGCATTTTAGAAAATAAAAAGTAAAACAAAATCCTTCACTGAACGAACAATATTGGTCATATTGTATAAAAGTACGAAATAAATTTTTACATATATGCAGTAGTCAGACCAATACCAAAACATCAAATATAAAATGATATTTCCTCGCCACATTTGCAAGGCCTCGTTAGCGCAGTAGGTAGCGCGTCAGTCTCATAATCTGAAGGTCGTGAGTTCGATCCTCACACGGGGCACATTTTTACTCAATCTAAATAGTGGTTCTTTCCTAAGCTGCTGCAAACAACCCATAGAAATTAAATTTTACTTACCACAGCATGGATGGTTTTTTCACTCTCCTTTGGAATTTTTTTGGCATTGAAGAAGATGCAAGGTTGGCATACCTAAAAGCGTTAAAAAGAATGAAATGTGGGTTCAAATATAGTTTTAAACCATATAAATGAAAAGAACAACAATTCTATAGGGAAGTGATGCGAAGAACCTTTATTTTTCTTGCTTGCTATTTGGTTGCGATTTTTCTTGCTTGTTTGCTAAAACGCATGTACATGGCTGATAAATTTAAAATCGATTACGAATATTTGCAAAGATAAGATAAGAAGAAAAAACAAACATAAGAAAAATATTGTTATGTCTAAAAGTCTTAGGGTCTGGGGCTATCGAGATAAAAACTTGGGGTAAAGAAAAATTTAGGCCTAAATAAAGAGAAAACTGAAAAAAGATAACTTTTGTGGAAGTTTAGGTCACTTTCAATGATTTATTTAAAAATTTGGCTCTTTTCAGGCAAAGATATTCAAGTCAAAAAGAGGAAAGAAAAAAAAAGTGGGTAAAAAATTGCTTCTCGGTAAACAACTGCAGAAGAAAAAGACACAAAGATGGAGAAATCTACATTGGGTTAAAGACTAGATCATAAGTAATAAAACAAAACGAAGGAAAATCAAAGCAATCAATGATATTCATTTTTGGTGGCAAAAAATTTAAAATGGCTTTGAAAAAACGCAACGGCATTCGAAATACTATTGTCTGACACTTCGTAGGATTTAAAACGTTAAAATAAAAATGTGGAGTAAGAGAATATGAATCCAGATGTGGATTGAAACAGGCCAATCAGAAATTCGCGAACATGATGGATTTCTTCCGAAAAATGATATTAATAAAAGCATATTATAAAAGCAATTTGATAAAACCAAACAAAGAAAAGAAATTAAATAAAACCCCTAACCTTTCATATAATTCAATATCGTATTTACAAGGCCGTTTAGGCTCCATGCCATACACTTCAATCATTCTTGGAAGTAACTCCTAGGAGGCAAAACCATATCTTGATTTGAAAATTGGGTTTCTGGGCATAAGAAGCATCAATTTGCACGAATATTACAAAACATGTGTAATACTAAACTTGGGAGTTTACCGAACGAAGTGGAAAGTTTCAAATCATTAAAGAAGAAAAAACGTGAATACCAAAAAACACATATTTTCATTTAGTGTCAGAGTCATATCTTATTTCAACACAAAAGACAAAATGCTGTGAACAATTCAAGCAGGTTGGTAATTTATTACATTCTGGTGATGGTTATAAAAGTTTGTCACTAAATTGTCACCAAATCTATTTTCTGACTGCACTTCCCTGAACATGTTATCTTACCTGGAAACTAACATTTGGCGTATCACTGAGTGAAACTTCTTTAGCTGGGGAAATGACTCTAGTTTTATCATCATCAGTACTCGAATCTTCGTCACTACTCGGAATATCATCCGGTGCTGATGGAGAACCAACGATTGCTTTTCGTGGTGGCACACCGGGCCTAAGAAATAAGCAACGTGAAGTCGTATTGACTTAATATAAGACTTTTATAGACAATAAAACATTGAAAAATAAAACTAGGCTATATGAGTATATGAAAATTTTGATGTCAGACTACAAATAAATTTGATAATTTGTTTACAATGACCAACTTCATGTTAGTTTTACTGCACAAACTGAACATGAATATTAAACAATTAACACTTAACAATTCACAGGATTTATAGACTTTGTATAAGAAGAAAGAACCGCAGGACAGGCTGTCCGCCGGATTCTGTGAATCTTGCAATGAGTGTTGTTATGAAAGATATACAGGAACAAAGCAATACGACGACGAGAATCCAATGGCACGAGATAAAATTTTCAAAATGAATTTGAACATATATGTGACATTGAATTCTCGTCGTCGTATTGCTTTGTTCCTGTATATCTTTTATAGACTTTGACGGGGCCCTACGTTAAAATAGCAGTTGAATTCAGTTTACAGTTTAAAAAACTTTAGGATTTTGAGAAGTTAAAAATTCTAATATTATTGTCTTGATTTTTACGCATACAAAGTATATAATATGAACCTAATTTTCACAAAAATTTATTCTTTGCAGTAAATATTTCCATCCCTTTAACTATTTCAATCTGTTGCTATTGAAATGACTGTAGACGACTTCATGACGTTTTCAAGGGAGGTGGGTTTGATGTATGTACTCACGCGATTGCTCTGCCTCTTGCACGGACCACAAAGGGACTACAATCTGTTGATGACGGAGGCATAAAATCCCTGAAAACAGGCGAATTCTTATTAACAATGGAAAGCTAATTGGAACGGTATTAATCTGGATTTCAACATCAGAAAATTCATTGACCTGGTAATGGCTGTAGGGTCAAGTTTCGAATGCAAGAATAAATTTGCTGTAACAAATGAAGAACGGTGTCATTTAAAAAATACCTGCAAAAAACATCAATAGCCAAAATCGAACTGGGCAAACTATTAACGCTAGAGAAAATTTGCTATGAAATTCCAAAGATTTGAAAAAATCTTGCAGTGAAGAGCCTAGACGTCGAAATATCCTTGCTACATCAACATAAAACATCTTTTGCATAAATGTTTACCAGCTTCACTCTTTTTGAAGAACCATTACTTTACTTGCTAACAAAAACTAGTTTTAAAAGTTCAAGGAACGAATCTGATGAAACGTTTTCCTACGGGTTAATATAAAAGTCAATCCAAGTGCCAAAACTTTTTACGCTTTTCTGAAATTGTTACTTACAACCTGCTTCCCAGATCAAAATATAAAGAAAATATTTTGGACTTGACATCAAATACCTCTCCAGCAATCGATACAGTTCCAGAAGTTGACATCTTTGGGCAATATTCTAGATTCTATAACAAATTCATAGTACACGCCAAGGCCGAAAAGTAGCGGAAACCAAGTTGTCGAGTTTGGCAGAAGAACATGGAATTGATTGCACCTTGTTTGAAGAGGTCCATTGAAGGGGACTTTATTGCACGATAAATCAAGTGCCAAGGATGTTTAAAAACAGGGGTAAGAATGGCAAATGTATGTTATTTTGACCCTTAGTAAATGAGAATGCAAACTTGCACAAACCTGCACGATTTTGGCATTTCCCTCGGATACACAGTATCAAATTGGGTGAGTTCAAACGGTCGATAATACTCAGAGAAGATGTCAAGTGTTTCTTCGTCTTCGTCAGCATTGCCAACTTCATGTTTCTTCAACGATTTTCCTTTTTCAACTAGAGAATGACAAGTGATGACGTCAAAAAACTAATGTTCGGAATTTTTAAATCTTGACAAAAAACGATAAACCACCATTGAATTCATTTCGTGACAAACATGGTGTTCTTTCTGGCTATGTTGTCAAAATTGAAACAAATTTAAAAAACGACTATTAATTTGGCACAATTTTGCGTTTGATTGATGGTGAATAAGGTGTTGCACCAAAAAGACATATTTACGTCTGGTGACAAAATACAAACCAACTGGACAACAAACGGATGATCAACAACTGGACAACAAATACTCGTGAAATGAGGTTTAGCGCAAGATTACTCATTAAGTTGGATGTCCAAGCTTTTAGATACAAATGATCCAGCTTGGATTGGAGGGAAGGGGGGGGGGGGGGGGTTGGGTGATCCTATCCAGCAAGTTCAAATACAGGTGGTGGTGGTTTACTGCAAACAGATACGTCTAGTTTTGCAGCTAGCAGAGGAAGGGTGGAAACTTTTTTAAGCCGGGAGAGTTTAAAGAAGAAGTGCGAGCTACTGTTTTGCTTGTAAAAATGTAAACAGACAATCTGATTTGCTTAAAACGTTTTAGCTAGTAGCTATTTTGAAGACCAGCTAGGACAATGGTTAAAAATATGCAGGGATAAATCTATAGCAAACAAATTCATGATCGCTTTTATATATTAAGAGCAACAGAAGCAGGAGATTATAACTGTTGATATTTGCGGCAAAAATATTTGATAAATCGTTGCTTTTTTTATCATACCTTCATCGGAAGGGAAAGGAAGAGCTTGCAAAACATCGTCACTCCACCATTTCGTGTAACTGCAAATACGGTGATCGAACGATCAATGCGATAAAAATCAAAATTTATAGTTCTAATTCGTACTCGTCAGCACAGTGGTATTCAGATAGAAGCATTAAGGATAACACGAACATACATCATTATTCTTATTTCAAAGAATAAAACAAGAATTATGGAGAAAAGTGAAAAAATTAAATTCATATTTTTCGTGAGTAAAATGTTATTGAACTGGATATGAGACACTTGTGTCTTACCGAGGACCCGAAGGATAACCCAAAGGATAACCCGAAGGATAATACCCACGAATAATCTTGACTTACTTGGGAGCATTGAGAAAGCACAGGAACACTTTCGAACCAATTCATTATACATCCGCGAGAAAAAGTTCTGACATACGCACAAAAGAGTATAAAAAGGTTTTGATGATGGCCAAAAGTCACAAAGATTCAAGGGTGGCTCGGTGGTTAGGATCACTGACTAAAGATAAAAGGGGCTGGAGTTCGGGACTAAAGAAACAAGGGGCTACGGTTCGGGACTAAAGATACAAGGGGCTGGAGTTCGGGACTAAAGATACAAGGGGCTTGAGTTCAGGACTAAAGGTACAAGGGGCTGGAGTTCGGGACTAAAGACACAAGGGGCTGGAGTTCGGGACTAAAGACACAAGGGGCTGGAGTTCGGGACTAAAGATACAAGGGGCTGGAGTTCGGGACTAAAGATACAAGGGGCTGGAGTTCGGGACTAAAGATACAAGGGGCTGGAGTTCGGGACTAAAGATACAAGGGGCTGGAGTTCGGGACTAAAGACACAAGGGGCTGGAGTTCGGGACAAAAGATACAAGGGGCTGGAGTTCGGGACTAAAGACACAGGGGGCTGGAGTTCGGGACTAAAGACACAAGGGGCTGGAGTTCGGAACTAAAGACACAAGGGGCTGGAGTTCGGGACTAAAGACACAAGGGGCTGGAGTTCGGAACTAAAGACACAAGGGGCTGGAGTTCGGGACTAAAGACACGGCCAAACTTAAGCTTAAGAATGAGAAGAGTCACCAGCTTTTTACGTTTTTTTTCTCGAAATCATGAGATGTGGTCACATCGAGAGGAAGGTCCAGGGTACTGCTCAATAAGCACGGTTTTTCAGCGTCCTAATAACTACATGGTTTTTCAGCGTACTTTTTGGAAGAAATAAACATTCAACGTACTTGAAAGCATGCATAAGTTCCTAGACCTTTCTATGCTATTTCAACAGCATCGATACAAATGAGACACAAAAACAACATAGGGTTTTGCGAACATTCAGTCTGGACAAGGATGCGCTATATTACAAGCACTGATGTCATAAACTAACCTTGGCTTAAATGCTTTACCCTGAAGATCCATTGTGTCGCAATGGTGTAAGTAATAGTCTGTTGGAAGATCCCATAATTTCAAAGTGCCTTCTTTAGGTATGAATACACCGAGAAACAAATTGATTGCCTGCTGCTTGTCGTTGTCTGCAATAATTTTAATAATAAATAAAAATTACAACTTTTGATAGGTTTTTACAATTCTTACAATTTTTTTATTTAGAGCATTAAAAAAGTCCAAATATGAGTTTAAAATGAAAATGAAAATGAAATCGCAATGCGAAGTGATGTTATGTAACAATCTAGAACTTCTGGTGACACACGTTCCACATACCAGAACAAGGATGAAAATGTTTTGAGCAAATCAGATTGTTTGTTTATATTTTCAACCAGCCAATGGTATTGCGTAAAAGACAATAGAAACCTGAAGAGAAAATAGCATTGAATCATACACAACAGTAACATATTCCACATACCAGTGAAGGCATTGCTGTAATATCTGGATACAGTCTGCATGATATCCCTTGAATGTGACGTCCACGGAGAAATTTTTCGATATGTTCGAATTCTGAAGACAGATAAACAAAAACATTTCAGAACGGACTGGATCTTGAGATAATATTTTTTTCGAAAGCAGGTATTTAAATAACATCAACAAAACAGGATTGTGCACGCAGCGTATTCAATGGTTCTGAAGTCCAATATTATCAAGATTTTGACTATACATTTAACCATTTAAAGCCTTTATGTGAAATATACTTGCCATACTAGACAAAAATGTTCTACTTTGACATATATAGATAAGATCGTTCGTCTAAAGTTCAACTGTTCAAATCAAACTATAGTTGCGGTTTTCAAATGTGATTCTCTACATCGATCGACTAATGACATGCGAATTCTGATTAACGAGATTCTTCAAGTTTGACTATCTTTCAACACAGGGGCGGACACTTGGTCAAATATTGAGGGGGGGGGGGCAAGCGTATTGTTTTAATAAGATGACGTCATATTTTCCATTGTTTTAGAACACAAGACCATTGTTCTCTAAAGTATTGATGGTCGCCCCCTCGCCCCCGCCAGTTGCCGCCACTGTTTCAACACTTAGAATTTATGAATCACTTTGACACGAAATAACTTATCTCATGCAAACATTCTGGTTTTGTCCTAATATTTTATACTCACATAACAGGAGAATACTACAATATAATCGCGAGGCAGTGAATCGAGCGATCTCTCAAACATATTACCTGTGTTGAATGAAAAGATTTTGACTTTCTTCTAAATGGAAACTTAGAGTCGTTTCATTGCTAATTTTGAGAACAATTCAGCTCTGATTTTCCCGTTAAAACCTCAATATCAAAGTGAGGTAATTTGTGAGAATAGATCAGGGTTGTATAAGTATTACTATAGCAAAAACTATTCTGGGATGTTCGCATTCAAGTAGGAAACATGATAAAAATTACTGTTTACCGATCTAGCATTGAAGTGCCGTATACGGGTAGGCAGAGCTTTACCTGCTTCGGTTTATAGAAAACAATGGTTCTAAATTGCAGCTCCATCCGGTTAAGCCTGATCAATACAGGAGAGCAATTAGGAAACAAACGTAAAAGAATTCAAAAGCACCTGTGAACCATCTGAGAACCACCATATTGAACTGCTAACGTATCTCCGTGCGCTTCATAGAGTTCTTCCAAGACCCTTTTATGAAAAACAAACAATCTTCTAAAATTTGATTTGTTTTTTATATTCATTTAAGCATGCTCAAAATCAACAACTTCCTTTCTAACCGAGTTACCATGCTGTATAAACGTGTTTACAGCATTAATCAGACACAACTATTCCTAAAGTTAATGATTTATCAAGACTAAAGGACACGAATCATCTAAGATTTACATGAAATTTGCATATTTGCCGGTCTGGCCCGGGTGGCGAAGGGGCGATTGCCACCAGGCCTTGTGTACACAAAATTTACGGGCCTTTCCGCGTTGGAGAAAATTTTTTAACTTAGTGTCAAATACTTAAAGCCCTAGACTGATTATATTGCGATTAAAGTCCCAATACATGCGCTTCAAACCACCCAAACCCTGGTTTGCATTATTTCAGCCATGTGTTCAATTTTATGTGTACCCTGGGTCCCAGAGCCACAAAATTTCGAGCGCATAAACAGAATGCCAAGCAGAGAAGCGAATGAGCGTACTCTTCTATTTCCGCTCTCTAATTTATGTGGCTCTGATGTCCAGGGTATCTGACTGTCAGAGACAGTGCTGTGCGAACGAAATTCATATTGGGGGGGGGGGGGGGCGG